CATAAGGGAAAAAGAACATCTGCCAGAGCCACAAATGGTGTTATAACCGAGCTCCCGCTCGCGTCTGCTTGGGGAACGTGCCCTGCAGAACGTCGGCCAAGGCCCTGACCTGGCCAAACACGTAGCACGTGTCCAGCACGTGTCCAGCTTCACACACGTGGGCAGCAGTACGGAACGCTGTCCGCCCGGGAGACCCGCGGGCTCGGAATTACGCCCCAGCACCAAGGGGAGCGATCCGGGACAGCGCGGAGGACACAGCTCCTGCACGGACACGGTCACCGACGGCTCTGCGGGAGCTGAAGGGAAAAGCCCTTTTCTGCCAGGCTGCAAAGGGATCTTGCACCCTACTCGCTTCAGACAAGGGATTTTCATTCCTCAACAGAACTGCCGATGCTTTGTTTGGATGGACCGTGCTGTGCTCCCTGCTTGTAGAAGAAATACAGTTTCATGGAATTTCCTCGCCTTGTCTGAAATCACGGTTAACTACTGACACACATCAAAGTGAAAAGAATCAAGAAAATAAGAAGTGCCCCGAAATAAATGCTGGAAACGATCTCAAAGACCTCAAAAATGATTTTTTTTTTTTAATGCAAATCATCCCCTTTCGGGTGGAACAGAATGGTTTGCATGTGGTGTAAAAAGGGGTTTAACACGGCAGGTGTCATCACGCCTGGTGTTTAGGGCAGTAGCACGCAGTCCACTGCAGAATGGTTTTGCTAAGGGGGATAGCTGAGCGTTCACCTCTTTACCAACAGAGATACACGGCCACGCTTGGCAGGTCATATAAAGAGAGGACAGTTTATTCAGGTCAGAAGAGATAAGGGGCACCACCAACATGGGTAACTTCTGTCTATTGCTAAAGACATAATTAGAGAACTGCCTCCCAAATTTATTTCCAGCATTTCAGTACTTGCCTGTAATCCATGACTTAAGGGGGATACAGACTGCATATTTGTGTATATTAATGTCTTGCACTGGGAAAGTCTGGTGACCTCTTGCTGAGCGAGCTCAACTGTTCTTTACTCTCTTGGGGGTAAAAATACAGCAATGAACTGAAACTCCCAAGGGATTTTCTCTCGTGAACATTAGCTAGCATTTACGACTAAAAGCAAAATAAGAATGACAGTGCTGCTCAGACTGTAAAATTATATTGTGTAAATGAAAAAATATTTTAAAAAAGGACAAGCTCCTCTGTTATTCCCCCTCAGAGAAACCCAGCAACCTAAAGAAAACCAGGATCTGCAAATGCGGTGAAGGATATGCTGCCTGTGCTTTCATCCTGCTCTTTACAGCATACACAGATCTCTGCAGAAAACAGTCTCTACCATCAAGGGCCCAAATCCCTGAGGCAGCTGGAGCTGCTGGAGCCAGGGCAGCCACAAACACAACTGCCAGACTGCGGGGGGATGCAGGAAGGGACGCTCTGAGCAGGTATTTTGCAGGTATATCTGCTCTAAGGCAGGTATTTTGGGCACAAGGCAACATTATGTGCTGGAATGGGGCTGCTCCACAGCCCTGCTGCACCTGCTGAAATTCAGTTGAGCTGGCAGGAACTGGGGCTGCAGGGTCAGTCCCTCTGCCCAAACGAGGACCTTGGGGAGAGGCAGCGCCCTTGGGGAAAGCGATCGACCAGAGTAATACCAAAAAGGAACTTACTGTTCTATCGGGAACTTCTACATCTGTGAAACAAACATGCTGCTACTCAGTTCATCTACTGATAACTGGGATATCTACAGTGAAAAAAAACAGAGAACACAACACATTAAAACATTGTCTTGAGCTCATTCAGTCTTCAGTTTTGGTTAGTAAGTACATCAGTGCCTTAGAAAACAGGATCTATTCCCAAGATGTTTCTATTTCGCCACGCATTAACACCATGTAGTTGCATGGCTACTAAAGCCTCGTGGAGTAGGTGGCGGTTGTCCTGGGAGTTTAAACTCCATAGACAGTAAGAAAGATGGAGAAATGCCCTGAAACTAGCTGGCTGAAGGAGCACAGGACTCGGAGAGCCATAGAGGAACACTGCGCAGCTTTCTTCTCGTGACCGGTACGAGTAGGACCTTGTCTACCTGAAAATAACCACCAAGCACGGAGAGAGAACAGCGATACCTCCTGCAAGCAGTAAAGCACTGCCTAGGACTGACACAGGCCAATTTCTACTGCAAGCCTTACGACCTTGGGCTAGCTTGTTCTCCAGCCTGAGAAATTACTGCCGTTCAGCATTGCTAAGTGTCCCAGAGAATCAAATGACAGCCGGTTTTCTTTGCAATCACTCTGAACTCGAGAGCGTGATGAAGAGCTGAATAAAAATGCAAAAATAGTATTGGGGGGAAAGTCCTTCTGCCCGAAATTTCCCTGGTCTAATCGGAAAAAAAAAAAATTGTGGCACACCAAATTATCAAGAAGCATCACCAGGACAGATTGTGCATATACAGTTCAGGACTGGTGCAGAAGCAGCCATCACAACCCAGTATCCGCAGAGGGACGTTTTGGAGAGAATTATGGCTAGGCAAACATGCATGAAACCCTTTACACTGAAGGCAGTGCCACAACAGCATGTACTGCACATCCAGAGGAGCTGCTGTGCGAAGGGGCGACGTTCCTGGTCTCAATAAGCTCGAATCATCACAGTATCACCCTGCCCTCCCTCCTTTTTTAAATTTCGGTTTTTAGAGCCTGATCTTGTGGCAGGGTCGGGGTGGGGAAGCTGCTTTGTGTTTTCACTTCCACTTTCAAGCCAGGACAGGCCATGCCAAAATACCACGGGGAAGGATGCTCGAGGTGGTATTTCTGCTCGCGACTGAAAGCAGAAGTGCTGCGGGGTCTTGCGCGACAGCACCTTTGGGGCGTTTTACCATCTTTTTGCCTTTTGTTTTGCTTTTTCGCTTCGTTTTCTCCCCCTCCCGCCCGGATCGGGGCCGTTCCGGAGAAGCCGGACGCCCGGCTGGACCCCCTGCTCCGCATCCCCGGGGGAAGGGGCGGCCGGCGGGACGCCGCCGGCGTGCTGCAGACACAGTGGTGGGCGTAGCACCGTGCATCATGGGCACTTTTTTCGGAAGGGAACCATGGAAGCGACATACGGGAGGGTGGAGCGGTTATGTAACCATGGCAACATGTGGTGGATTTTTGGGGGCGTGGCAGGAATCGCAGCAACAAGCCATGTGACATCGTCATGAAGGATACATCGGGGCGCAGCATGCAATCACAGTGCAAAGCAAGACAGCGTTGGGAAAAAAAATAAACAAGAGAGAAGGGGAGAAGCCAATTACAATTATAATTAAGGAAAAAACCAAAACATTCTCAACACTTAGTACATTTATAAGCAGAACAATGATGTATTAGACTCCGCGGGCCAGATTTCCAAAGGGGGAGGGAAGGGGGGCGGGCGTGCTAGCAAAAGCCCACGGCAGCTCGCACCCGTGGGGAGTTAGAGGCAGCCAGCGCATGGTGCTTGCTTTGTGGCGGGGACGGGACGGGGACGTTTTGGCAAGCGCGCCAGCCCACCCGGCCTCCCTGGGGCTCCTGGAGGAGCGGCCGGCAGCCCCGGCGCCCGCCGTGCAAGTTCGCGCTGCCCTTCCGCTACGTGGTCCTACGGGATTCGGCAAAGTTCTTCCCTCCAACCCGCTGCCCTTCCTTGGGGATACGGAGGAAAATGGAGGGCATCGATTCGGCTGCGACTCTGCCCTGGCGGGAAGAGCACCCAAAATGGCGCCTGGGGGGCGCCTGGGATGGCGGGGAAGCACCACGGACTGGGCCGGTGTCCCCTGCCGCGGGTCCCACTGCGGCCACCAGGCTCCGAGCAGGCGGGTTGTCCCCCCTGCGAGCAGGACCTGCTCTGCAGGCCTCAGTGTCCCTGTTGTCCTCACGCTACCGCCTGCGCTGAGGGCTCCTGCTCGCCCTTCGGGCACAACCGGTTCCTCCATGGAGCCGGGCAGCAGGACGGGCTCTCCGTACTGGCTCTTTATCCCCTATGCCGGGGAGCACGGCTGTCTTGGCACCTTGTCCTCAGCACAGCGAGATCCCGAGGAGGGACACTGCCATGCCCTGCTTGTAGCCACCCATTCCTCCTGGCCAGAGGGAGCCAGGAGTGGGGTGGCAGATGGTTCTTAAGAGCTGATGGCCTCACCTAGGTCCTTCTCCAAGGGATGGAGGGGGAATGAGCTGGGAACCCCACCAGCCACACCTGGCCAGCTGTGGGCCCCCCTGAGGTCACCAGAGTCAACTGTCATGTCCCATAGAGAACAGCACGAGCCCTGAGGAGGCAGAGACGTGGGGTCATCCTGAGGCACCAGAGTCCACCAGACCTGGCTGCTCGGTCTGCAGGGACGATGGCGCAGTTCAACAGCAGGGTAACACTGTGCTGCTACCACCACCGCGGTCGCTCTCAGGTGGAAAAACCCGTCCATAGGGATGGAGAAGTTTGACAGCGGAGCGCTGAGCTCGTCCTGCCAGAGCTACCGACTTGCAGGCTGCTCCCAAACAGCTCTGTGGAAGCTCTGCGGAAGCTCTGCACCCTTCCTGGGACTACTGCTCCCGCTGCCCTCGCTCCGCGCGGAGCGGGCACGCACCGAGAGGCTCGGCCGAGGACGGGAGCTCGGTGCTCAGCCGCGCTGCTGTGCCGGCGGCTCCCGCGGAAACGCCCCCCCGCCGCCCTAAAAAAAGAGCCCAGGGGCTTCCTGCGGCTGCCGAGAGGTTGTCCCCAGCCCTTGTGCTCTGCTGGATCCCGGGGCACACGCACTGTCATTTCCTTACAGTCCTTCTCCCTGCAAAGCCAGCACCTCACAGACACCTTAGGAGATAAATGAAGACTCGTCTGGTTTAAGCTCTGCATCTCCTGCTCTTCAAACAGAGCCCGTTCTGGCAAAGGGGCTGACCCTAAATGCATTACTTCACCAAACTCTTAAAATATCCTCAGGACAACGAAAAATCCAAACTCTAGCACACCTCATAAAAGATTAACCAACAGGATGCATCCATTGCTAGTTCCTTTTGCAGGATTACTTAAATAGGTTGTAAAGATATATTCAGTTGACAAATTTTTGTCTCTGCAGCAGAACTAAACAGGGGAGGGAAAGCATCACCTCAGATTCTCTGATTAGTCACATGAAACACTGCACTGAACAGAAATTAAAAGGGATACAACCATTTAAGCCTCAGAGAAGACAGTGAATAGACAGTCACACCACTCAGCCACCCAGGTTCTCACTGATGCATACTATCTTGCTGTCTCTTTCAGATTAGGAAAAGTTGAGAAGTTTGTGTAGAAAAACCTACCAACGCTTGCAGTGGGTGTCATGCACAGAACTGACCCTGCACACCATGCATTGAAGCGTGGAAAGATGAACAAAAGGGATATTTCATTAGTGAAGCTTCAGTGTTAGAAATCACTTTAACTAAAAAGCAGGTATTCTCTTTGCAGCATTCAGTATTTAAGCACATGCAAAACAGATTCTGCATATCGATACATAAATAGTTTAAACTCAGTTTTAAGAGATCATAGCAAACCAAATTAATTCTTGAATTCTTGGGTAGAGAATTTATTTCTTCTCCCACCCAGGTAATAAAAGAAGTGATCTAACCTACAGAACAGGATTGCGGGGTGTTTTGGTTTTTTTGGTATAAGGTGTGTTGATTTTTCTGATCAGCAGACACAGAGTTGCCCTTAGAGGAACAGCACACTCATGTTAAAACTGACTTTCCAAAAACAATTTACTCCTGCAAGCAGAGGCTGGGATTCAAAGTCTCTAGTTCAAGCTGAAAGAGGCAGTTTTTTGCCGGACTTGAAACAGTTCTAGTGGTGATGCTGTTGTCTACACACACTGACCTTCTCCTAGGGGTAAACCATGACACTGATTTCTTGTTGAACAGGAGAAACTAGGAAAAACAGGAGCTCTTTTCCTCTCCCTATATTACTATCTGCTACCTGCCACTTCTCTGCTTAGTTCGAGATAATTTCAAAGGCTGAGACCAAAACCACGACCTGATGCTACAGGAAGGGCAGATTTGTCTACCAAGGTAGATTCATCACAGACCACTTCCCTGACTGACATTTTGCTCCTCTGACCAGCTAATGTCCTTAGACAAGAGCAGGTGCCAAACAGAGCTGTTCCGCATCGGCTCCATCGCCGTTAACGGGACCAGGAGGATTGTGAGTTCTGGGTAAAATATAGTTGATGGTGCTTGTATCAGGAATATGCCTCTCAACGTCAGGTTTGGAGTCTGTGACCTCGAGGAACTGCAATGTGTTGTCAGCTCCATGCCTTGACATTTTAGAGGTGCTCAAAACTTCCTGGTGTCAGGAAACCAGACAGAAAAGAAAAAGTCATCCCATGGGTAGAAATATTCTTTTCTGGCATCTCCAAGAGTTGCTGCAAGGTGAGCCCAGCCCATCCCTTCCAAGAGCACTTTACAAGGCCCAAGGGGGAGGCCTTCTGCTCGAGTCTCTCCCTCCAGCTCCGCGTGCACGCGACGCTTCCCGGGAAGCACACGCCTTGGCACGTGGTGGATCCTGAGCATCTCCAAGCGCTCTCATGGCACACGGGCCAACGGGACCAGCTCTCTGGACCCTTAGACACAGTTTGGTCTCGGCATCGGGCTCTTTCTGACAAGTCTTCCCTTGATTCAAGAGAAGGGTAAGAGCAAGGGCTCCAACCCGTTTCACTTCATGGGGACAGCTAGAAGCACTTTGTGTATTTTTAAAGATACTGTTTGCCAATGAATGCAGCAATGAACATGAAAAAAATCAGCCGTTCATCTTCATATGATGCTCCACAATGAAAATAATGATACTAAAAATGAGCCAGCGACTCTGGAATACTCCTAATTCAGCCATTTGTAATACTTACTACTCTAGGCAGTTTTTGTTTTTCATTTGGCTGCAGTGAATACAGGTTAATTGGCTAGTCAGCAGTCACATCTGCCAAGTCAATATTTCGATTTCTGTATGAATTACTGAACTGCATCTTTCAATTTTACTCTGAGACCTGAAAGGTACAATAAAAGCTGGGGAGTTAAATTGCTTTTAAAAAGCTTAGGCTATTGTACTGCTCAAAAGACAAGCAAGGGGGAAAAATATGTCTTTAAAGAGGATTCTGTAATTCCTGTTTACAGAAGACACACCATTCCCCCTATAAACACCGTGGCTGCTGGAATACGTAGGTCAGAGACCCAAGGTTAGACAGATACCTGCAGTTTAAAGTGGGCAGGCTGTTTTGTGTGGAGACCCACAAACATTTTAACATGAGCCCATGATTGTGCTACACAAGAGTCAAAGAATTAATTTGGAATTAACTAGTTGAACCATAAGGAGAAGAAACAGGAAGTATGAATTCAAGAAACATGCAGACATTTTTCTTAGTTTGACTGTTTAAAAACGAAACAAAGAAGGCTAAGAAGGGATCTTTACAAGTCAAAAGCTCTGGACTGTAGGGGGTGAAGGAAAAACGTCAAACAACAAACATTAACTTTCCATGGATTTTTACAACGAAACTGCACACACTAACGATCTTCTGCTAAGGACTCCTACAAAGCTGTTGTCAGCAGCTCAATCTCTAGGTCATAAGAGGAAAGCAACGATGTGATGAGGAAAGCAGGGAGACACTTACCTGTAGGGATAAACGTAGGCTGTTGCAACTGCATGTTGGCTAGAGCCTGTTGGTAGTGGAAAACGCTTGGGTTAAAGACTGTGGTGGCACCATTGTTTTTTTCAAGTGCTGGCCTCTTTGGTAAAGGTTGAAGTGCACCAGGCGGCAGGGCCTGTGGACGAGGGAATCGTTAAAGACAAGTGGAATAAAACCCAGGCACCCCAACGAGGGTAGATAACGCATGCAATAAATAATAGGGGGGGTCTTGGCCGTAAATCACCTGCAAGTGGGTCAACTTAGGAAACAGAAGAGCAGCTACAACACAGATAAAGTGGTAGGTGAAAACACAACTTCACTGAGCACTTTTAGTAAATGCAGCAGGAGAAGGGGGCAGAGTCCAGAATGAGGAGAAAAACTAAGGGAGCCTTTTGGTAGGATTGACTTAGGAACAGAGGAAGAGGAGGAGGAGGAAGGGGAGAAGCAATCTCCTGGGCAGGATACCACAAAAAGCAGTTGCAGGCAACAAGCATTAAGGAATAAAAAACCTAGCAGCCAAAAAATAGAATAGAAAACTATTTTTAAATCAAAAGACTAGCGTAAGCAACAAAAGCCATGGAAGAACACACGGGATGCTTGCTTGCCTCTGCCTATTTCGATACCTGCCTACACGTTCGTGCCCATGTGTGGACACGGGCACATTTGTATGCAGGTGACCGAGGCATTCGGGTGGTGACGGGGTAGCTGGTGCCAATTACACACAGAATGTCACATTCATGGTAAAATGCATCTCTCCTTGTTGTCGGAGAGCCTGAACAGCACAGCCAAGAACAGGCCAGATTCTCCACTGCTTGCCACAGCTGCACAGCTCGAGAACAGCACATTTGGACCTGCTCCCGGTTTGAGGAGAGCAGCGCTACAAGAAGGCCTCCAACAGCAAAATCCTGCTTGCTCATTACCACCAGTGGAAAAAGCCATGGACAGATCTGCTGCTGGAGCAAGGTTTGGGTGGGCCTCGCTCGGCAGCAAATCCTCTCGCTTGCTTCCATCACACCACAGTGCTTCTTGCAGCCAGTCAAACCCGTTTCAAGATCAGACTTGGTAAAAGGCATTAACCCAACTCAGGAACTTTTCTCAGCGAGTTACTCATCATTCACGAAGCATGTCTCAACAACAAAGTAGTATGTCAGGTTCTCAGAGACAGGAATGTTTCTAATGATTTACAGCTTCTCATTGTACCAAGGCAGAAACCACATTTTTTTTTCCCTTTCTTCACATTGTGATAGAAAAGGGTCCTTCCTAATTATGCCCCGCAGTCCTTTTGCATGGAACACTCCCATTGACGTCAATGAGATTTACACACGTGGAAGTCATGCAGAATCAGGTCATTTCTGCCTAGTTGTGTTCTACATCATGGAGCAAAGCAAGGGCTGAAAACTGGGGTTATCCTATCTTTTGGAATGAATGAATGACAGCAGAAGCGGGTAATGAAGGAAGCTTGGCTAGCGAAGGGTTAAGACCACAAACACACAGCAATTTTAAGAAAGGATATGTGGAAAGAGATTTTAAAGTACCATGAAGAGAAACACACCACAGAACACAACCGAAAGCTCACAACAGCTGTCACCATCTAGAAGCAGGTTACACTTAAAAATTAGTTTGCTATAGGAGACTGCTCATCTGCGAAATGTTAAGGGAGATACTTCCAAGCAAAACACCACTCCATGCTATCTCTGTTCATACAGTGGCTTTTGGGTAGTTTAAATGTTAAAAAAAGAAAATTAGAATTAGGAATTGCTTTTGCCACCTGCCCTCAGACATGCACCCACCCTCTGCTGATGCCAGCAGATATTCAGTACTAGAATTAGGCCTTAGCAATACCTTTCTAGATTTCTTCTGGCTAGTATCAGAGGCAGCAGCCAAATGCAGGCCAGCTTTCCCAGAAGCAGACACCAGAATCTTTCAATTAAGATCCATGTTTTAGGATGAGGTCTTTTAGGGAGAGCACTATGTGTTTATAACTCTTGGGGAGGCCTCATTGATGCCGATGTTTAATGTGACAAGAAGGAATCCTGCTCACTAACGGTGGCCCCATGAGTCTTCTTCCAGGCCCAGAACAGGGTTTAGGCTTGCAGACACTGGGGTAGCTCCATTTACTTCAGAGACGTTTTCTAGGCTTACAGCAGCTGCAGAACTAGCCACTTAAAATCATTCTTACTACGCCTCATTGCAAAACATTTTTTCACTTTCAAAATCTGCCTCAGGAAAAAAAAACACCAATTACAGCAAAGCAACTCACCAGCCACGTAATGGACTTTGGACTCTGCCTGTTGGCCACTGTCACCGCTCCAAAGAGCCCCTTAACCCATAACTGCAGTGCCAAAAGCAGAGCAGCTGAGGCCTTGCAGACTGGGATGTCCTGGGTCTTTACACGTGGGACGTTTCCGAGGTCAATGTCATGGTCAGAGGGAGCACACGGACACCTGAGGGACAAGGATCTACCCCACATCTACCTAACACGAGCCCTGGGGAGCGAGGGAGGCAGGAGCTGTGACAGCCCCTAGAGCACCTCTGGGAACAGCAGGTTCCCAGAAGATAATCTCATGTGGAGGAGCCCAAAGAACTTTTCTTTTTGCCCTTGTGCCCATGCAGGAGCATCTACACAAGCTTTGCAATGTTAGCAAACCATTTGTCTTAGTGCTCAGGCTCAGGGTTATTTTTTTGCTATTCAATACCCAAGTGATAGTCCACACTGATCCCACTGAAAAATTCCCACTCCAAACATGCAGAGCAGCCTCCAATTTTAGGGCTGGGAAAG